TACAGCTGCAAATCACACTATTTTGTCATCCAGGAGTCTGTTTGGAACATGAGATATGCTTTCTAGATTTAACTGTTGGCTTTCCTCTGGCATTTTAATGAGTATTTTATAATTAGACTTTGTTGTGTTTCCCTCAAAAAGACAAATATAAGGGAAGTTTTCTGATGGTTTCCACACATAGGACCGAAACATGAGTGCAAGCATATTTAGAAACATTTTCCTTACAATGCTTAATCAATAATCAAAATATTGTTTTGCAAACATTAATGGGAACATTCAGTAGTATTTTGCTAAGTATATGTTCAAAATATATCTGATCTCTGGTTTGTAGCCAAAAATCAAAGAAAGAGTATTTGTCATATTTTTTTTCAAAGAGTTTTTTATTTTCCATTGTTTATTGAGGTTGACAGCAACTTAAAGACAATGAAGTTTTCTCAGAAGTTAAATGTTTGGTTTGAATTTTTTTTTTTGTAAAAAAGAGAAACTCGCATTCAGAAAAAACCATTAGTTTAAAAACTGTCATTTTGATTTCATAGTTGACTCTGTTCCTTTAAAATGAAAACAAAAATAGCTTTAAAGATGGGAAAATAGAACATTTAAAAAAAATCATTCTATCTGGCTTATCTTATTTATTGATTCCCATGTTGTTATTATGATATTTTACATCTTCAGCTATGTGGAAAGTGACTTTTTTCAGCCAGTTCAACCATAATAAAATAGAGTTTGAACAAGCCTCTGAAAAACTGGAGAGACCGTAGAGAAGCTCATGCCATTTTGCTGGGAAAAAAAATTGTATTCACATGTCTCCTTATTTTTGCTGTTATCTCCTTATGCTTACTATTTACATAATGTTCCTGGACATAATAGATAACACTGTTATGAATAAGTGAAATTGTTTTAGCTTGAATCTATCTGCTCATCTTGCTGTGAACAGATTACTGTTGGGTGATTTCTGTGCTATTCAAGTGAGTAACAATAATACAGTGTTTGAAGGCTGCTGGTAACTTTTATGGTAAGATCACTAGTTCACTAATTTGACCAAAAGTAAGGAAGCCTAAACTCTTTTGTTGATATGCTTGTTTCAGATATATAAAAGTTCATTGATTTTTCTTTTGAGCAGTTAGTGATGGGCCAACACAATTTACTTTTTCCCAAATTTTGGATAAACCCAGAGGAACACTGTCAAATAGTTTGACTATGGTTAGAATAAAGGCAAACCAGTCGGAAACAACCTGGATCAATGACTGGATTTTATTATCTCCACCATTTGCGATTAGCATAGTGTGCAGCTCTGTAGCCCTTAACAGGTATTTTTGTATTTACTCCAGTAGGAGTAAATTATAAGAAGACATTTGAATGCAAATAATGTATCAAATTTAGTTGTTTTTCATCCAACTTTGCGTGATAGCTAGCACATGAAAAATTAAAAGAAACATTTTAGGAAATCTGTTTCAAGGCCAATAAAGTCACACTGGACAATGAGTGAGAGGAGTGAAGGGTAGACTCTTTCCAGACAGTAATGTAATTGATAAATAGTTTGGCCTGGGAATAGTATTACATTCATTTGAAGGATGAATGATAGAAATGTGACACCTTGTAACAATGAATTAGTGAAAAACAACTGTGTATACAGGGCTGGCAGCTGGTGGATATTGACCTGATGATGTGCAATGCGAGGATTTTGTTAATTTAAGCATTTGTTTTATTCCCTTTTTTTTTTAGTCTGCTTAGGCAGTTCTTACCATCAACCTTTTCCCTGAACGCCCTGTGAAATATTACTCTGTTGTTGTTGTCAACATAAGATCTTCTACACACCTTCTTTCACAAAATTATTATTATTTTTTTTTAAATCAATTTAATGCAACAGACTCTAAGAACTCACTGTTTCCTGGGGTCCAGTGGCTGTAATACTTTTGATAAGTTTCTGAATTTTTAAACATTCATAAGGTCTCTCTTGTAAGTCATTTGTACATTCCACCTGAAATGCAACATTAATGTATTTTTTCTTTATTTAGTGTGGTTCTGTGGCATTTTTGTTATAAGAAAGTATAGAACATTCATTTGGACTAAGCAATACAAGGGTCTTTTTTACTGCTTGTTACATTTTGTTACCTTTCATGCACTCCCATGTGGCTAGGCTTAGGAAGTGCTAATTGGGAAGCAGGTATCCTATTTTACATTTTCTCCATTTTGAATTGTCTGGGAGTTTCACTTTCCAATTCCTCACTATTGTAAGAGTGTAAGAAAGACAATGGGATAGTGCCCTTGATGCCTTTCTTCTCCTTTTCCATGACATCCGATACTCATAGCTTTTATCTTTTACTATATGGCCTTACATTTGACTAAGGTGTTATGACTCCTCTGTGGCATGTAAGAGCATGGAGAACATTGTTTATGGACCATTCTATGACTGCGTGTAATATTAAGGACTAGACTCCATTGCTTACATGATCCAGTTCCTGAAATAAATTAGATACAATGATGAACTATGACTTCCTGAATGCTTTTTTGTTATTTGTCTGCACAGGTGACTGCATATTTCTGTGCTTACTTTCACTAGCCTGAGATATTGGTACAATAAAATGATATATGTTTGTACAGTGAAATGCTATTTGCACAGTAACATCTATAGTGCTGAAATGGTTTTCTTTTTTCCTTTTCCTAAAATGTACTGAGAAATAAAACTCTAAGGATATGGCAAGGGGTAAAACAAATTTTCATTTATGCTATTCATATAATAATTTTAGTAGCATGTTTGTATATTGGTAGATACTTCCACAATGTATGCTACTATTTTATTTAATAATGCATACAGGATTAAATTTTAAACATTAGGTTCAGATTATGCTGAACAATTATAAAATAATGTCCTTAAACATAGTCATAAACAAATATTTCCACATAATTATTATTCGGAAATAAGTAGTGTAATACAAATCAAAATAATAGAGTCTTATTTGGCATCTGTTGATATGTTTAAGGAAGGAGGGAGCTGTGTGTGTTTTGTTTTTTTCTTTCTGGAAACAAACAGAGATTATTAGTGAGTTATATGTAAAATTGTTGGCTAGACCTGTTTAACCAAAATCTTGTTTTCAACAAAGAGGTAACACCCAGCTTTATTACAGTCTACTTTATCTTCTGTCCTAATACATACTTAGTTAAATATGTAGGGTGTCACTGATCTCAATGTTACTGCAGAGTGAAAACAACATTGGAAGAGTGCCTTTTGGCTATTTATGTATTTAATGGATAATTTTTTTGTTTGTTTGTTTCTTCTTATTACATGCTATTAAAGCACAAATGAAGATTAGTAAGGAAGAAAAAATTAGATCCATTTCACTAGATAATCATAAAGAAGATCAACAATTTGTATCACCTGTAAGACTTCTACAAAGCTCTGTAATGCTGATTATCTAAGATGTTTCTTAATATTCTCAGAATTATTTTCTATCAAGGAATATATAAAGTTCTTAGTTAATGAAAGTACTATTGAGTGAAATGAAGAAAAATCCATAATCTTCCCAGTTTCTTAATAGATAAAATAGTTTAACTTGATATCAAGTCAATAAAAATTTGGTTTCCATTGCACTAAAATAACTTGCATGATGGCGCTGTATTCAGCTTTCAACTTCATTGGGTTTAATCACTCCATTAAGGCGAAGACATATCTGATCAGATGAGAATACAGCATTGCACTGTTCAAAGGACTAATATATTTTCAATATCTGTAGATATTATGCCAGTAAGAAGTTAAGAGAGACAGAGGAGGGATTATCCTTCAGATGTGTTTCTTCCACAATAAATAAGTAAATACAGACCCCATGACATCCTGCTTTTGCTCTGAAATTATTTCATCTCATCAGTGTTTTGAAATCTCAGTGCTTGTTTACTAAAACGATTTGTGTAATCTAAAGATTGAAAGAAAAAAAGAGACATCTTAAATTTTCTAGTGGATACCTACTTTGTTTTGTGATATCTAAGGTATGATTTCTGTTACAACTCATTGCTCAGGTTTCCTTTTACTAGACTTTTCCAAGCTATCAGAAAACTCAGTAAATTAGGTGGGGTGTGTGTGCTAGTTTTACTGACACTTTGCCAGCCTTCAGCCTCACAGCTTTAAAGATTAAGTTACCCTCAGACAGTTGCAATACAACATACAGTGGTTTGTCATCAAATTATTTGTCTTCGGAAAAGGATGTTGCTTAAAAATTATTGTTTAAACATCTTTTTACACTTTCTCCATTGCAGTTACGGATCACCTCTGATGATGAAATTATGATTCAAAATGGACAACTATAGAACAAATAAAGTCAGTTTTTTAAACTAATTCTTTGTGTTTGGATGGATTAGTTGTATCAGCATGGTTTTAGAATAAGGTAATTCAAGTTAAGACAAAGGAGTAGTTCAACTTTCTAGAACAGAATATCATTAGTTCAGCTCAGAAATAAAACAACATTTCTCTTAAACATGACAACTGCAGGAAGTAGCACTTTTGAGCAAGCAAATAGGTTTATAACTTGATCCTCTCCCTCTGAGCACAAGCACTTCAGATTGTGTTAAATGTATGGAGCATACTACAGCATAGAAGTACTACCAGTTGGCTATGCTGTCATCGGAGAAATTTCATGTTCTCTTCAAGCCTGGAATTGATGGCCAGAACAGGCAGGCAAGCATCAACATAGTTGTAAAACCTGGTTTATTTCTTAAAAATAAATACAAAAATATAAATATAAAACATTGGCAGATAGAATTTGATGAAATGACGTTGCACAAACCTTTTTTTTTTTTATACCAGCTGCATATTACACTTATTAACATCACGTGTACATTTTGTTTTAATTTTAATGTACAGAACAGGACATAGTGGATTTTTTCTTCTTTGCCATCTTAAAAGCTGCACTTGCAAGGATATGACATGTACCTAACAGAAGCGGCTTGAACATGAGGTTGCTTAAGGGATTATCACCCTGTTCAAATTTCTGAAGGTAAGGTATTGTTTATTTTACTTACTAAAATGGACAACACTGTATTTCCATAGCTTTGGCTCTTGGAAGGTGATTAAATAAAATGCTGTATATATCCCAAGTGGCATCCTACTAGAAAGAATAAATGACATTAATGGACAAATTAAAAACAAGTTTTAAAAGGAAATCATTGTGCTGAGTGGCAGGAAAATTTTCCTGAATGTTAAATACTGTTGAGTGCAGAAGGTGTCTGTAAAATTACTTCCGCTCAAAGGGAACAAAAATGTATCCTACTGTAGGTCAAGAAGTGTCTTTGTCACTTTCTCCTCCACCATACATTTCAGCTAGCTTATTAAACCGAGGGCCCCATTCTCGGAGGTAATCATAGTTTTGGTCTCCTTCAGTAGTACCCGACTCCAAGGAGCTCAAGGATTCAGCTATTGAATCATTTCCTTCATAGGCATAGGTTGCAAGCGAGTCGTACGGCGGTGCAGAAGGATCAGTGTCATGCTCTTTTAGCCTTTGGTTAATGAAATCTCGGACATCTGTGTTATCTGGTGCTGAAGGAGTCCTCCGTGGTACAAATAACGTTTCAGGGATAATGTCTCGTCGAAGCTTCTTGTCTTCGATAGCTGCAGGATTCCTCAGTGTGCCAATATCAAAGGCTTGGGTGTCTTCCTCTCCACCGCCTTCATCGTTATAGCTCACAATGTTGTCTCTGATGTCCTCTTTAGAGAGGATCAAAGGCTCCTTCTTTCGTTGCCTCTTTAGAGCAGCAAACAGCACCACTATAACTAAAAGAGAAAAACAAAGAATAGGTAAAGATCTCTATTTAACAATTTCTTAGTAGCAAATTGACCAGGTACAAGAACTTTATTGCGGCTACATTTTAGCAATTCATTTCTGTCTGATAAATGGATAAACATGTCTATTTGTATTACGGTAACACGGTAAGGTCTATATCAAAATGTACTGTTTTGTACACACATTGTGTGCTCTGCTTTATAGAACCATGATCTTGTCTACATGCTCCTTCTGTAACTTTAATGAGTGTTAAAATAGCCAAACCAACTCTGAAGTTCTTTTCCCCTTTTTAAGCTCAGAGCATACTGTTAAATACTGCTTTTGAGGTGAATTATAGGTCATTAGTGATATTCGGAAAGATGCAAAATGGAGGTTTTACAAAATTCACTTTTTTTTTTTTGTTACAGCACAAAACCTCTGGTTAGACAGTGCTTTAATATAGAAAAAAAAATACTATTTACTAGCATATTCTGTGTGAAATGTATACTGCATGTTGGCTTTAGATAGTTATTTAAATAAAAAACGAGAGACATTCCCTCAAAAAAAAATTAAAATGAAAGACATGAAAGTGAATTTTGACTATGCTGTTCCTCCTCTTTGATCTTCTTTTTCAGACAACTTAACAAAAGAACAAAAATGAGCTTCTGGTTGCACGTTGATAGTTTTAACAGTCTGGGACTTAGAGTTCTTATTTACAATGCCCAATCCACAGACAAATGGTTTTGCCTTTTTTTTTTTTTTCTTTTGTTTTAAGTTGCAGTTGAATTCTTCTTGCAAACCCTATGATCATCAATTTTACCAGCCTGCATAGTTTTGTAAAATGAGTCAGGCCTGAAACATTTGTTCACAGGGGGAAAGAGGCATTTCTTTTTATTACCTAGCAGGATAATGATGCAAAGG